TTTGCTGGCTAAACAGTGATGTTCTTGTGGGTGTTCAGGGGTGCTTTGTCCGGAAAATAATGGATGAAAGTATGTGAGGATATGGCCACCATGGGCATGTCAAGGATTCACAAAGGGGAGTTGCCATAGCACATTCATCCTCATGGGTCTGACAAGCAGATAATCTAAATATGCTGCGACTTCCACCTATAACTGAATGCCCGAAATGCCCATTCTAACCTCAATTTACTCTAATTTATTAGTTCTTCTATTTTTAATTTGAGAAAATTACTCTCCTTTTGGAAATGTCAGCTGAAAGCCAGGGGAATGATACCAATGCACCTGATATTTAGATTGACTGAAGTGCTTTTCTGATGACCTCTGAGGCAAAGTCATGAACCTGCTGTTTCACAGGGCTGCTGGATGATGTGAACTGCAATTAATGCTGTCTGAGGAAGCAGACAGTTCTGCTCATGGGCTGCCACTTAGTCGTGTAGCTTTCACAGCTGCAGAGTAAACAGCTCTGTAGCATAATTCTGAGGGTTAATTCTCCACCAGGATAATTATTCAGAAACTGAATTATGCACACACTCCTTGGTGCACCTAAGTCTCTGCTCCCTGTGCATACTGTCAGCTCTGCACCTCCATATTCCCACACAGCCCCACAGCCTAGAATCAGGTGGGATAATTTAGTTATGGCTGCAAAACACTCTCCATCCAAACCACAGTACTTTGGGGGTGATTCCCAATTGCCAGAACCTCTGGACTTTTCTTGAGTTTTTATGAAACAATTTTCTCCTTTCTTTCAGAGCAGACTGCTTGCTGATTTAACAAATGGTTTCAACCTCCCTAAAGCTGGATTTTCCTTTTATTACTATTTTGTTTATGACCTCCTTTGGTTTCTACTTCCTTTCCTGTCCCTGACTGATAGTGCAGCAAATTGCTTCATTCAGTCCATCCCCATCCAGCTGTGGGAAGGTGCTCTGGGCTGAACAGGGTTGGACTGTTGGACAGGGACAGGGCTGGACAGAGCATGGGGATGCACGGTGATCTCTCATCTTCCTCAGAGCCAGGCCACAGCTGGCTCTGGGGAATGCTGGGGTGGATCTCCAGACACTCCTGACTCTATTGAGGGCACATCCATCATGGGCTCTCAGGGTTGGAATGAGAAGGGCAGGGGGAGGGAATACCAAAGCCCTTCAGCTCCAGGGCAGCAGCCACATCCCAGGACATCCCTCACTCCAGGCTGCTCCTTGAGGCAAAATGTGAGAGCAAGATCTGTGGGTTCCATCAAAACTGATGAAGAGAGTAAAGATAAAAAGGGGAAAAAAATATTCGCAGCTGTTCGAATAGGAAATTTCTGTGTCGTTCAGACCTCAAAATCACATTTTGTTCAGGCATCAACACACATTGCTGCACTGGTTTTTACAAGACACCAGATGCTGATCTGATTTGCTTCACAGAAGCCATTAACAATCCAGGAGATTTAGGAGGCTGCTGATAAGAGAAGGAACAGCAGCTCTGTAAAATTATCTCATTAAACACCAATAAGGTTGAAGTGGGAGCTTTTAATCTCTGCCTAACTATGTGGAGTTGTTGAACCTGCCCATTTTCCTGAATAATAAAGCCATTACATTAAACCTTTTAGAAAGTACTAGATTAATTCACCATCCTTCACTGAAGAGGCAGTTGTAGAGACTTTTTTAAAACTGCATATCTTATTTTTTATGTTAAGGCTTTGGAGGCTACTGCTGACATTTACTTAGGTGGTTTTAATTAAGTAGTATTTTCAATGTACCTGAAGCCGTTGTCAAAAGATTTTTTTATGCGTGCTCTATCAGCAGACCTAAGCAATGATTCCACCTGAAGGTGATAAGGTATAAATGTAAGTTTAGAGAGCAGTTATAGTTAAGTGTTAATATTTTCCACTTGATCTTCTAGTTTTTCAGTTCTGCCTGACAGATCCTTTCTCAGTTGTGCTGGATCCTCCCTTGGGAAGCAGTTCCAAGGATGGAGCTGCTCTAGGCTCCCTTTGAATGGAAGCACTAGAGTACTCCACAGTAAGCTTGCTGTCACTCAATGAGAACAACAGAATTGAGATCAGAAATACTCTTAAAAGGAGATATTACATTTAAGAGTAGCCTTTTCCAAGGAAAGGATCTCACATTTCTTGCCCCTGTGCTCAAAGTCTGTAGTTTGCTGAAATTTTGGAAGCGGGGAGGTGATGCTGTTCCGAGTTTTTATTAAAGTTCTGGTGGGTTTAGGCATTTGCCACAAGGGTTTTCTAAGTGACGTTGTCAGCACAATGGCAAAGGCTAACATTCAGCTTGCAATAGCTGAAATGTTGCAGTATACTCAAGTGATTTAAGTGCTTTGGGGGTTTCTATCCTAATTCCTTGAGAGCAGAACTTAAAATGTCTCTTATAGCAGAGGAAAGTATAGCAAATACTCGTAAGAGTAACATCATTTACAATTAAAGGATAACTAAACATTCCTAGAGATGGATATAAACCAGAACAATGGGATCCAAACAGAAGCAGCCTTCCAGACAGACTAAGATCTGGTTACAATATTTGTAGCTGAAGCATCTCTCTAAATATCCCTGAAAGGAATGTATAACAACTTACACTGTAATATCTGAGTCACCTTTCAGCTAAGGAAGTAGAGGTGCTGAAGACAGCACTGAATATTTGGATGTTAAGGGCACCTAAGGAGCTGTAAAATAAATAGTTAGGTTTGGGATAAGTAAAGGAAAAAGTCAATAAAAAGTTCAAAATTCATGTGTTGCTTCTGAAGCTACAAAAGTGTTGAACTGTGGACAAATAAAATGAAGCATTTACCTAGCACAAATGGAAAAAGAGACTGAGTTAACCACACGATAATTCACATAATATATGTATACATAAGTGATAGTAAAAGGGTTTTCAAATCATGGGGATTTAGGGTTAAAAGGAAAATTAGGCTTAGTAGGCCCTGAAAAAAATAAATACCTTAGGTACATGAAGGCCTTGTACCTTGCTAGAATTGCACCTGTGTAGCTAGTACATGATAAATGATATATTTGTTAGATGTGATGATTGTTTAGTAATTAAATATAATTACTGTTTAATCATAAGAATAATAATGAGAAACTGTGGTCAGGGACCTAAGAAAGATCATGAGAAACTCATGGTTGAATAAAGTCAACATATACAATAGAACAATATAAGTTTAATAATTAATATGTAAGTTATATAACAATAGAATATAAAATACATTCAGCTTGAAAGCCATGTCGGAGTCAGATTTGGGTCTCTACCCCTGATTCCAAGTGCTCTTAATAAAAGCACCTGCATATGATCATATCCTGTGATTATGTGTGCTCCTGAATGCTAACATAAGGTCCAAAAAAATCCCCAAAACTGTTCAGAGTATATCCACCCAGTCAAATAACTTCATCTGCATGCTTTGCTCCCAGATCTGGTCCTTTATCTGTCTGCATGGGCTGGAATAAAACAACTGAATTCTTGCCCTCCCCTCCAGGTGGGATTCAGGGAGTTGTTTCCTCTGGACAGTTCCCATAGCATGGGACAAACTACTGTTAAAAACAACAACTCTGTCTATGGGGCCGATTGATACCATGGGCTGAGGGGTCCAGAAAGAATCAGTCTGAGTGCTCAAGCAAAGAAATTGCAACAGAATTTTATGGCATCAGTTATTTCCACTGATAAACTGAAAAATGCAGACTTAGTTTCTACGCACAAAAAGGCCTGCTGGGCAGATTGGATAAAGCTTATGATTACAGATACCGAAGATGAGCTGACATGCTGGCTTTTGTACAAGGACAGGCAGACCTGTCTAGAGTAGAGATGAGATAATTACATTTAGCTATTTTAATAAGCTACTTCTCATCATGCATAAATGTAGCCTGATCAGTAATTAAACTGGGGCTGTACTATGAATTTGTGCAGTTTTTCTTTAAACAGGCTCAACTATATTCTGCTGCCTGTTCATTTCGGTATCTTTTCATGTCACTGTGCCAAGGATAATAAAATTACCTTTTTGGGAGATCAAGTGTGAACATACATACTGATCACATACAGCAATAAAGCATTGGTTCAGTGGCTACAGGTCACTAGGGCTCACTTCAGAAACCTTTTGTCTCCATCAGTGGTGCACACCTTGAAGAGACAAACTGTACCTTGTGGCTGTGCATAGAACAAAGACCACACAGGGCTCTCGAAAAATAAAACAGTTAGTTTGTAATAACAATTAATGTAATCATCAGTGTTTATTAACAACAGTAAAATGCACAGTGATTACACATCAGGGAAAGACAAGACTCTTAACTGCAATTTTATCCTAATTTAGCTGAGCATGAAAGGATAAATCAATGAGATTTTGGGACAAGCTGATATGCTTTATGTGAGTGTTCGTGTGGAAGAAATAGAAAATAATATTGCCAAAAGCAGTAGCTTATCCTATTGAAACTGGGAAGATTTCAAGAGCTCTTAGAGAGTGTTATTAGTAGAGGGCATTTAAGAAAATAATAATTTGTTCTTGAGGAAAATGTCAGAAAATAGAGGACTGTTCATATTTTTAATATTTTGGCTGGGTTTTTAAAATTATTTTTTGGTGGTTAGTAATGAAAAATTAAAACATTTCCCTTTATAATGGAAAAGGAATATGCTCCTATTAGTAAAAAGTTTAGAATATTCTTCAAGCTAGTTGAAATTGTCAGTGAAAGAAGAACAACTAAAAACCAACAGGCCTGCAGTTTTCCTCTGTGCTGGTACAGAAACAGACAAAAATCATCAGGTCATTTCAGTTGGGAAAGATCTTTAAGGTCATTACATCCAACCATTAACCCAACACAGCCAAGGCCAGCACTAGACAGGGTCCCCAAGTGCCACACCCACACATCTTTTAAATACCTCCAGGGATGGTGACTGAGCCACTGCCCTGGGCAGTCTGTTGCAGTGATCAGCCACCCTTTCTGTGACAGCATTTTTTTCTTATAGCCAATCTAAAGTTTTATGGTGCAAATTGAAACCATTTCATCTTTTTCTCTCTACTCAGGAGAAGAGTGTACCCCCACCTGGCTACACCCTTCTGTCAGGGAGTTGTAGAGACCAATAAAGTCCCCTCTAAACCTCCCTTTCTCCAGGTTAAACAACTCCAGCTTCCTCAGCTGCTCCTCAAAAGACTTGTGCTCCAGCCTCTTCACCAGCTGTCACTCTTCCCTGGGCACACCTCAACACACAAAACAATTCTCAGCTTAAACAGAGCATTGGACTGGCTCAGAAACTCACCCTTATTCCACTATATTGGTAGTAAAAGCAGCATTTCTCATTTCTTTCTGAACTGGCTTTCATTCTTGTAACAGTTCTGCACAACTTCCAAGTCCATTATTTTTATTAAATGAAAAGCTTGTAATAATATATGGCATTAAAAGATTGGGGGAAAAACAATAAAACAATTATATGGATCGGAGTAAAAAAAAAAGGCAGAGAGTCCATCTTCGAGTTTGGAAGGTTTTTCTAAAAAAATGGAGCCATGGAAGACAAATGAGCCACTGACTGTAAGGAAGAGTAATTCTATAATAATAAAAATCACAGAAGACAGAGAGTCAACTTTTCCCTGAACATTTTAGAAGTTTCAAGATATATCACCCTGCCATGACATTTAGCTGGAACAGAAGAACCCACTCCCACTTGACATTTAGCTGGAACAGAAGAACCCACTCCCACTTGATGATCTGGGAAACCTCATTAACCCAAATTCTGCTCCTTGACACATTCCCAGGAGCTGTTCAAAGACCATATGGAGCCCTGCATTCAGCACATGAGCCCTGAAGTTTTGCAAATGCTTTGCCACAGTATAATAAAGATCTCGGAACATCTTGCATTTTGCGAGTGAGGAAATGGAGACACAGACAGTGACACCATGGTCCCCTCCCACACTGTTTCAAGGCAAAGGTAAAACATGCTTCACACCACAGGCCACTCATTCCATCTTTAGATCATGCTATTGCTATTTGTAAATATTTATCCATTTCCTATTCCAAATTTATCCATTTCATATTCCAAAAAATGGCTGATAGTGAAGGCTGTAGTAACACAAAACAAATATGCTTTTAGTTTTATTTTACTACACATTAGTGATGGCAAAACCTTTGCACTGCAGAGGCGTCTTCAAGAGTAATGATCACCCTGGCATGGAGAAACCATTTAAGACATGTAAGTATAGGGTGTTTTAACCTGCCCATGCTGTCTGAGCGCTCACTTCCACACTGTGAGGAATTCCTCTATATGGAAAACATTCCTTGTTTGTCATGAAACAAATGGTTTCATAATCTGACACAAAATAGAGCAGAATGATGAATTGACTCAGCTGAAATAAATTACAAAAATTCAAGGAAGTTTGCTGAACACAAGCAAACACCATAAGCTAGGTTCCAGTCTCATTCTGTATAATAAATGTTTGGCAGCAAAACAGAATAAAAGCAAAACATATCTTCATGCTTTGGGGATTGTAGTAAGAAAGAGGTGCACTAGAAAAAAAAACAGGAAAAATGGAAAAAGAAGGAAAAAAAAGGAAAAAAGTAATTTTAGGGGAAAACAAGTATGGAGGGAAAAAATACATTATCAAAGTTAGGACACTGTTGTAGAACTGAAGGAACCTAAAGGTAAAGCAGCTTCGTGAAATCTGAAAATATAGAAAATAATTTTTCATAAAAAGCCATCTCCATGGTCTATCTCATCATGCCCTTGGGAGTTGCTTATGTATTTTGTCTGCATAGAACAGAGTGAAATTCATGTTTGGAGTATTTTGCTGCTGGCTGGGAAATCAAGAAGATGCTCATAAAGAGAAGCTACTAAGTGCATTTCTAACTCCCTGGGCTCAGCATTTCAAGTGGGAATGACTAGCTTTTAGCTAAAAGCAAACTGGAAATTTCATGCTAGGAGCTAAGAAATGGTATGTGGGAAAGCAGCAACAAGATCATTCCACTTTTCATCCTTGGTTAAGATCTATCCCACATGGCTGTTGGTCAAAATCATTTTCCCATCCAAATGCATCTGGAGAGAAGCCAGGATACTGGAGAGTCATTGCAGCTTGTGGCTGCCTGCACCACCTCCCAACTGGGTCTAACTGGGATTTGTGCTGTTGATTTGAACAGTCACACATTCTCTCCAGAGTGCTGGGTGCAGGCAGGGCGTTTAGGCAAATCCATCTCCAGTAGGAGCTGCCAGACAGAGCAGGGGGAGCACTGAGACCACGCCAGCAGAGCTGTCTCTGTGTCCCAGCCCCAGGTCCAGCATCAGCCTGAAGCCTCAGCTGAGTTCTTGAAAAGCTTCTGGTGGTGGTGATCAGGCCACCACTGTGATGGTGCTTCAGCCTGTGGTGAATCTGGGACATTGTCCTCAGCTCTGCGGGTTGGGCTGGGTGGCACTGCTGTCCCTGCCACCCCAGCTCCTTGGGAACATGTCTCTGCCAGCACCTTCAAGCAAGGAAAGGCCCCTTGCTTGTCTGTGAGAGGCAGAAGATGCTGCACACAGTGATTTTAACTGTTTGTGTTCACTGTGTTATAACAAACTCTGAGGCAATAATTACTTCCCTGAGGTAATATAACTGCACTAACAGCATGAGAAATCTGATCTGCCCGTGTCCTGGTTTTGGCCACAGTTCATGAAATCACAACTATCAAATGCAGGGCTTGGATAAAAGGGCCATTCTTCTCTACCTACACAGCTATTTTTGGTTCTTCATGGCTTATAAATAAAATAATTTTTGAGAGTGAAACTGATCAGGAGTTATTTTCCAACCACATGACAAGCTCTTGGAGAGACAAGAAAAGTCAAAATAATTTTTGAATCATAATTCTGGGTTTGAAGTATTCAAAAATGAAGCCATGTTCCTACAAATACACAAATACTCTGAGTTAGATCCTGTCCCTGGAGAAGCATTTCATAGCCTCAGTGATTTCCATGGCGTTATGCCAAATTACACAAGCTGGATATTTGCTCTAGGCCATTTTGCTATCACAAACAGCAGCTACATGATAAGGATTACAACATATTTCTGAAAGGAGGGCAAGTGTCACTGATAGACTGGTTGCAAAAACGTCACTCATTAATAAAAGGTCACAAGTGACCACAAGGGATACAAATGAAGTATTTCACTTTTTTGGAGCATCATTTTGAAATCCTGTTAATTGTACCTATCAACCATATTCCTAACCATTTCCAAGGTCTGCCTTCCTGCAATTTAAGGTCTGTGTTTATGAACCTAGGTTTGAAAGGGCTTCCCCTTTCAGCCTCTAAGCCTGAGTACACACTAGGAAGGTGAAGACTAAAGTTGCAACGGTGAGAGAGAACCTGAGCATTGAAAGGTGCCTCAGACGAAAGACCAGTGTGTACAAAACACAGGTCTGAGTACAGCAGCAGCATTGGTGCTCTAAAAAGTCTATAATTACCTGCTCAAGGAATTACAGACTACATTTTGAAGCAGCACACACTTAGCAGTGTGAGCCCATAGAGACTAAAAGCATGAAGGGTTACCCAATCCAGAGCATAGTAGCATCCTTAGAAAAAAGAGCTCCAGAGAAAATTATGCCAAAAGAGATGCAATCTCACAGCATCAAGCACGAAATTATTGAATACTTGACTTCCTCAGTCACTCCTACCTTAGGCAACAAAAGCAAGCTTACACTACAGGCTGAGAAGGAAAATTTATGAGAATTGTGGAAATAAATCACAGTGTTTTACTTGTCCATGGTGTGCAGGTTTTTCTCAGAATCCAGAATTTTATTTTTTTGTTCTTGTTCCAAGCACTAACAAGGAAAGTGTCCTGAATTAGTGCAAACTTTTAAGTTTGCTTTTCCAAGATAAAGAGCTGTAACATAATTAAGAACTCTCTAAAGTCCTGCTTTAGGGGTCACAAAAACTGTCTAACTCCTTGATTTGGACAGCAACAGAGGTGAAGGTCTCCAATTCTCACACAGTACATAATCCAAAATGAAATGAAACTGTAAATCAATCGCAAAACACTGAGGATTTTATGCCGTGTAACTTTGCCCCCTCTTCCACCCAACTGATGTTAATGAGCAAGTATGAAGAGGTAGTACTAGAATCTACTCATGGTAGGGATAACCCCAAAGTATTTGTACAGTTTTTCCTGTTCCCTGCCTGACCTGCTCTGCTTTATGTCAGTGTCTACATGAAGGGGGAGGATTTTTCTTTCTGTGCCGTGGTTTATGTAATGTCACAAATGCTGATATTGATCTCTTGCAGCCAAGGTTTCTGTTTGATGTTGCCAGTCTGTGTTATTTTCATCAGGGCCTTTCCAGTCACTTGATTCATTTGATTTGCACAAAGTAGGATTGTAACTGGGCACTGAGAAGGGGGAAGTCATATGTGCAGGGTAAGATTTAGAAATTCCTATATTTTCTGTAAGACAGAGGCTATTTTGAGTTTGGGGAGAAAAAGGTATCTTGCCAAAGCAGAGGGCAATGGTATCTAATTTTCCCAGCCACTGCTTGTAAAATACTTATTAAATAAACTTTTACCTTCTCCCTTCTTAATTCTCAGATAATTCTGGGACAGAGTAATCTTGTTCTGAGTGTAAATGTCACTCCTCTCCCAGTCAGAGAAAATAACTGCCTTTGACAAAACAGCACATCCCCATTTTTCACAACAGCATTGCTTTCCCGCTGGTTGTTTAAAAGGCAAAACAAATGTTTTGCCTGTGGGAGCAATTTAGGGTGAGATAAACTGTGGGTATTGGCCTCTCAAAGGTCATCCCAAACTGATGTTATAATCTTATTCTGGTGATTTGTGAATTCTCCCATAGTAATATCCATATAAATGGTTTAGTTATGGATCATCCAGCAGGATCTGTACCACTGCCACAGGTGGGTATTCTCCTAAGTGGGCTCTGACTCACTTGCCATTTGCATTCTTGGAAGAAAGAAAACCCTTAGAGTTGCAAACCAAAGGTATTAGTAGGAAACAACTCATACACATCTGCAAGCAGCAGGAAAAAAGTAGAAATCCCAAAGTTTTGAGATTACATCATCATCCTCATAGGACCAGCTGAGCATTATTACAGGGCCATAGTTACTCCAAGGCTGCGGGATGCAAATTTAGGTGCCAAGTCCCATAAAAAGTCTCTTGTGGAGGAGATGTTGAGGGAGACTAAGACTAGGGCTCTGTTTCAAAACCAGAGTCCAACATGCCTGCATATTCACATTTACATGGGAGTGAAGGGTGCACATTCTCCGTGTCCAGCCAGGGCTCTGTGAAGTTGCTTAAACAGAGCCACTGGTGCCACCTGGGACAATTGCAGGAGGCTGCCTGGTGAGGGACAGGACCTGTCAGGACCTGTCAGTGCTTTTCTAAGTGACTGCTGGAGCCATGTCAGGCATTACAAGGAATTTCTAGCACCACTTTGTACCTGAACCAAATCTCCCCATTGCTCCTTGTGCAGTTCAGACAAGTAGCAGGCACAGTGCAGGAGGCAAATGGCTCTGGCTACCAAAGAGCTGAGCCAACAGCACAGGTTCTCTTAACTAAAATGTTTTCCAAGGCAAAAATTTGTCTGGCAGAAAATAATTTCCTCCTGCAATTGATCTAAAGTAGAGTGGGAACAGGGCATCTCTGTGCCCTTCTCTTTTCCTGTCTTTTTAAACTTTTAGACCTTCTCTAACACCAGGAAATCAGGAAAATTTTGAAGTTCTCTATGGGGAGAGTGAGTCCACCTCAAGGTCTAGAAAACAACTTGATATCCTGAAATATTGAGCTGTGACAACCAGCCAGCCTACTTGCCTGGCAATTCCTGCCCTTGGTTCCCTTTATCTTCCTCAGATATTCTCCTAGATATCATTGGAGGCCTCATTTGAATAGCAATGACATTTTTGACATTACTCAGGAAAAACAGCAGCATTATTCTAGTTTTTTTACAGCCCCCAAAGGCTTCAGAACCTACAGACGCGGTGGTTTGCAGTGCAGCAGGTCCCTGGTGTCTAATCCTGCAAGTATGTGACTCATTTATCCTACAGCAGTGTGGGACCATAAATATCAGGCATTTCTTCACTCAGCAGAAGGCCACATTCACGTGTAGCTGACAAACACAGGTCTCTGGGCAGTAAACACTCAAACCTGAAACAGCCCCAGCCTGAAACCAGGAATTAAGAGCTTTGCTGTTCTGTAGAATTTCGTGTTCCAAGGTAGACTGTGTAGTCAGTACATGAATGGTCCCTGATGAGAATTATGCTGTCTGACTTTCATAACAAAAGTATATAATGAGTATTAAATAAGCTTTGGTGTTGTTCATGTCTCTTTATCCTTTTAAGGCCAAAAATTATGATCAATTTGTCATGCTGTTTCCAGTCAAAATATGCTTGACAGATTCTAATTAGTGCATTCAAAGGGGCAGTTTTAGCACAGTTTCCCACATACACTTCTACAGCAATTGTGTTCCAAGGGGACCTAAAACCAAAGGGAGATCTTGCACTGTAAGAACATTTGGCTCTTTATCTGTGCTCAAGGTTGCCTGGGTGTTACATGTTCTTTCCTGACAGAGAAGAATGAATTTAAATGGGAAAAATAACAAGAATCTTTCAGGTAAAGGGCTGCATCATCCCGGAAATTTTTTTCTTAGCAAATAAAATTCAGTGATCTTAGCCCTAGCAGAGCTAGAAAGAGCTCAAGAACACATAAATGCTTCTTTGCACTCATTGAATTTCCACCTAAACTATTCGCTGCTGTGATGCAAGTCAAATACAGCCTAGAGATCCCACTGCAGAAGTACCACTAGAGACTCCAGCGTTACAGGTACGTTGGCAACTGCAGCATAAAAATCCTGCTATTTCACAAATTAATGGTAGCTTTGGAAACTAAACTCTAACACAATAGCTCTTCAGGGGACAGTCTGGAGGAGGAAAAGCATTTTAATTTGGTTTTGACAAGCTCATTTGTTTCCTAAGCCCCCTTCTTACTAGCATCCACTTCAAACCTTGCACTTTGACAGTGCTCGCACTCTAATAGGGATCTGAGGCTACGTGGCACATTTCAAACCTTTAATCACAGCCACTGAACAGGGTTCTTCATTACCAAATTTAGTTCTGCAAACAAGACAATTAAAATGTCAAGCTTCAGGGTTGCACTGATTTTCTAGAGCAGCCTCAGGCTCAGCTACAGCTTTGGCAGGGATGTGTCCTTACAGTGTTTGCTCTTTCCTTGCCCTGTTCAGATCCCGGGATCGATAATCAATATTCAGAAGCAAAAGCTCTCAGCCTGAAAGACTTTATCAGTTGTGTGCCAACACTGGTGACATCCAGAGGGTGCAATAGATGTAACTTTCCAGCAAACCCTCAAGTTCTGCTGCTCAAGAAAACACAGTTCTCTATTATAGGAACTGCCAGTCTTCCACTCCCCCGAGTCAGCAGCACAGCAGCTTCTCCCTGTGATGAATTTCCTGCAGTGCAGCAACTCTTCAAGCTTCAGTTTCTAACTAGAGTATAAAATTTAATGAGAGTTGAAGCCCAAAGCAGGAGAAACCACATCAAACAAGATGGGCAAAGAGTTCATCCTCCTCAAACCTCCCTATACTGGAAGATAAATTGGCACTTGTGCCGCAGGGTTTTGGTTCCAGGGTAAATGTTGTCCAATGGGTACATTAGACAGGTAAAACATAAAAACTACTATAATAAAATTGTACTGCACAATAATTCACTCTCATTGTAATTCCTACTGAACTCAGAATTGAGATTTTTAAAAAATCAGAGTGGGGCACTACAGAAAATTAGAGTTCACACCAGACTCTAGAGTGTAGGAGAGATATTCATTATGAATGGAAAATAAGATAACATGTAATTGTGAAGGGAAAGGTAAAATCTACTCACTTCATGTTTCTCTAAAGTTAGTCTGAGAACCTCACATTCTGAAAAGATTAGTAGCTAGTAGTATGTAGCTTATGCCAGTCAGGGTTCACTGACCATTTTCCCCTCTGCTCAGAGCCAGTGAGATCTTGACTTGCTCTTCCCAGGCTTTCAAAACCCAGGCATGAAGCAGCCAGAGTGGTCATTCCCTCCTTGTAACCTCATTGTAGACAACTGGAGAGCACAGAAAGGCACCCAGAGTGCTCTTGAGTTCTGTCACTGCTCTTCTGGGTCTCATCACTGAGAGCAATCCCCTTAAATATGGATTTTCTCTGGCATCCAAGAGCAGTGTCCTTTGCAACTCATAGCTTAAAGAACCAGGAGTCAGTCTGGGGCT